AATTCTTATGATCTTATTTATGATTCGGAGGAAAGCGGTAATGATATTCTACAAATTTTAGAAGAATTTGTTCAATATACTGAATATAAAGCTGTCGGATTTCATTCCTTTCTTAATCTTAAGGAAAGATTGAAAACGACTGATTATGTAACAGAATCATTGCAAAAAAAAATGTTGTATGAAAAACCTTTGTGCTTTATTTTAAAATTAAGCAATGGTATGTTGCAAGTTACAAGTTATGGTGACTTTAAAAAAGGGAATAATGTAGATAATTATTAATTTTATTAAAATAGAATTTCATGTTGTAAAATTTACATTTGTGAGTACTTATTGTAAGTTTTTTATTATTTTAACAAGTTAACTAAGGTCGCGTCGCGTCGCACAGGGGAGCTTTTTAGTTTATAGACACCTACAAGCAATTAAAATCAACTCACCTTTCACAAGCATTGAAAAAAAAATTATAAGGACGTATATTTTAATAAATAATTACATGAAATGTTGGTAGAGTTGTTAAATTACCATAAATTTATGTACATTACAATAACATTCAAGAGTCATGTCCTATTTAATAATTTCATAAGTAAATTTTAGTGCAACATAAATCGTCGTGACTTTTTTAATGACGAAGCCGAAATTAATATTTAGATCTTAGACATGTTTATTGTTTGAGTCTTGCGCTTTCTTTTATATAAAAAATAAAAACCTTTATTTTAATGAAAAAATATACACATAGCCGTGGCTACATGTAGCCATCCAATAAAGCCAATCAAATTTTAGGATCAGGTGTAACGTGAAATCAAAACAAATGCTAGTTTTTTTTAAAGAAATCATCAACAATTCAAAACTTAGATTATGAACTATCTTCTACACCCTAACAAAAAAAATTGCTCTCTTAATTTTGCATATGCTAATGCCTAGATAAAATCCCAAGCCTCACCCTAACTCTTAATCGTGGGTTTTATTTTTATAAAAAAAAATTATTTTAATAGTCGCATTATACCTGATCTTAGTTACGGCTATGTAGCCTATGGCTATAAATATATTAATTCAATTTTAATTTATAAAAATAAATCAAACATGAAAATTGCAATTTTTTACTCTAAAGCTAAGAATTTTAGCTAAATACTGCTTATATGAGTCTAATTTTTTTTGTCAGGAAGTTTAATTATTAAAACAAAGATACTTTACTTATAGTATCTGATGTTTACTAGAAGATGCTTTTTTATTAAGCCTATCTGAAGTTGATTATTAAGTTAATATTATTTCTCTTCTTAGTTAATAGTTTCTTCAGAAATTAAATAAGCAAATCATAATATAGTATAAATTTAATTAATCATATAATTAAGATTAATTAATAAAATTTAATCAATATTCTTAGAAATATATATATTTGTTTAATTTTTTCTTCTTTTCTATGCCTGAGTCTAAAATATTAATATTAACTTAATAATTAACTTTAAATAGTCTAAGTAGATTTGAAATTAATATAAGATTAATTATAATTTTTTTATTTAATTGCTACAAGAGAAAAATGACAAGTTAGTTATTTGACTATAGAAAACTTTATATAATCTATAAATAGTTTAGTCAAAAGAAGGTATTTAATTTAGTTGATAATATATATTTATAAGTAAGTAATTTTAGTGATTATGTCTTTAAAAATTAATCTGCTAATACTAATTTTATGTTTATAAGTAGAAAACTATTTAGAGTCTTTAACCTTAGAATTTGAATAACTAGTATATAACTGTATATCATATATCTAAAACTTTAAACTATTATTACTATAGTATATTAAGTAATTAAACAAATAGAATAATTGCAACTAACCACAATTTATTAGATTAGCTAAACAAAATACTATAGTCAGTTCTAGTATGTTAAGACTAACTAAACAAATTAAAGAATAAGTATTATATAAAAGGTTAATGAAAATTATACTATTAGATTACTTTAAATAGTAAATTAGAGTTTAAAGATTAGATAATAATAGAATAGTAAATTTAGATTTAGTATATTAGAATAATTATTCAAAAAGAATTCAATTTTTACTAAAGCAAACTTAGAAGTTATTCTTTTCTATAAGCTAATATAGTTTTTATTTAATATAAAATTTATATATAATTTATACTATTTATTAAAATCTACTATTTATTACAAATATATTATATATAGTATTTAGTCTATATATTTTATAAACAAAATATAGGTTTTATATTGCTTAAATACTATATATAATATATAGCTTATATATTATATAGAATATATTTAATATAAATAGTTTATTTAGTTTAACTATATAATCTATAATTATATTATATTGCTAGTCTAGTTTGAATTTAGAACTTAAAGCTTATACTATTATGATTAAGAAAAATATACTTTATTTTAAAACAACAAACTAAGAATCTAGATTTAATAAAAAATTTTGTTTATAATTTTTATATCTAAATTTTTAAAGATGAATATTTAACTTTTTTATTATTTTAATTTGAAAAAAGATAGTAAATAATCTGAATTAACTCAAATAACTTAAAATAACTAGTAATAGTTATTTAGTTATTTCAAATTTAAATAACTTATAGAAAGTTATTAAATATTTGCTAACTGATAATCTAATATACAATATTTTAGTTAATCAAAATTCAACTCTCTCTATCAATTACTTTAACCAAATTGGGAGCAGAAAAGAAAATAAAAAAAACTTAAAATTCTTACTAAAAACAGAACAAAAGCTACTAAGTAAAAAGAAAAAGAAAAGGAAAAAACATATATTTTAGTAGAAAAATAAAGAAAAAAGTTTAAAAAATTAGAAATATAGAAGAAGTTTTAACTTTTAAACAGAAGATAGAAAAAATTTTTTTTAGAAAAGTAGGAATTTAAACAAACTTTAAAGTACAAATTACTTAACATAATATAAATATATACAAATCAAAGTAAATAAAAATGTGTTATAGGAGAATTTATTTATTATATATCTATTAGTAGAAATATTATATTCAAGTTCAAAACTGAATATTTATAGGCAATCAAAATATCTATAGTAAAATTTAAAAAAAGGTGAGATCACTTTAGATAAAGAACAGATAAAGAGCAAAGTATGTAAAATAGAGAAAAAGCAAAAAAATTAGTAAAAATAGTAATTAGAGAGTATAGTAAAAAAATAATAGCTAAAAAAAACAAAGTAGTAATAGGTCTAGAAGATTATATAGATAGAATAATTGCAAAATACTAAATATAAAAAGTGTTGTAGTAACAATGACAAGAAAATAAAAAGAAGTAATTGAGAGAGTAGTAATAACAGAGGGAATTGATAAAGTTAAGATAGTATTAGAACAAAAAATTCAGGATATGACTAAAAAAAGTAATAAATTAATATTTCAGAAGAGCAAGAATAAATTAGATATAAAATTGATAGAGTAAACAAATTTAGTAAGAATAGATTATAGTACAGAAGAAGAACAAGTACTACTTGTTTAGCAAGCAAAAAAAGTAAAGAAATATATTGCTAAATAGAAGATATTAAAGAAATTCAAAGCAAAAATATTACTAGATTAGAGCAAAACCAATATCTTGATACTATAGAAGAATTTGAAGAAGATTTAATGCTAGCAGAATTTGATTTTTTTTTAGAGAAAAGTATTTAGATATCTAGTAAAAGTAGGTATAAAAGAAAAGAAAACATAAGAGTGAAAATAGTAGCTATTAATGTACTTAGAAATAATACAATCTATAGAGAAAATTTATTAAAATGATTTATTAGAAAAAATGTAAACTTAAAAAAAATATCAGAAAAATTTGAACAAAGCAATTTGTAATGTACATTAATATTTAATTAGAAAAAAGGTTATAAAAAAAACTAAAAAAAAATTAAAGAACAAAAAAGAGGTATTCAATCAAGCTAGATTAATCTGTGAAAAAAACACTAAAGAAGAAATAGCTACACAGATATTAGATAGTCAAAATGAAGAGACTTCTATTTTAGAAATAAGAAA